GCTCTGAGTATTGATGTGTGGTACAGAATGTTAAGACCCAAACATAGAAAACAAGAAATATTTACTAGGCCTGTGGAGATAGCCCAATGTGCCATGGCTGGGTGACCAAGGGTAAACAAGGTTGTGATTGCCTGCATTTCTCCCAAACAGTCAATAGGGCTGCACCTTTGCTGGATGATCTGGCATATATAACATCTCAAATGCTGGTGGTCTTATACTGATATTTAAAATTTTGTATTAGCTGTTATATCAACATCTTTATATCCATTGGTCACCTTATTCAAGCACCATAAATTTGCTATCAGGGAGGATGGAATAAATAGTTTTGGGTTTATCCTAAGGCACCTATTGAAGCCATTTTGTTACAAAGTTAACCACAATGCATCTCGAAGCTGGTCAATTTGGGAGTCCTCAACCCATTTTAAAAACTGGACAGCTTAACTTAACAGCTTAAAATGACATTCTGTTTAAGTGCAGAGTACAGTAGAGGGGACCTGCTCCCCAACACTATAACACTGTGACCCATTTGTTATATCAGTGTTGTGTGGTACATGATGGTCACATGATAAAAGTAAGCAATAAGCCATAAAATGTTCAGTATGATCAAATTATTGGCACCATAACCATGCATCAATTTTGTCATTTTCAGGTATACAAGCCCTGATGTGACACCACTCCTAGTCAGATGCCATTGCTCAAAGCATGGCAAAGGTGTTTCTGCTGTCTGTGCCAGCAGCAGCAGCAGGCATCGCTGCCTGGCGCTCATTCCAGCCACCTGACCCAGCTCCACGAGCTGTCTCTGAGCCGCCTGTCTTCATTCCAAGCCGATTTCCGCCGGCGGAGGCCGGCGATGACGACGCCATCCAGCGGCGACCACCCGCACTGCGACTTCACGAGTGGACGCTAGGCTACCTTAGTTCGGCGGATGCCGCGCTGCGGCGCAAGGCGCCGTGGCGCTGGCGTGCCTGCGCGACTTGGACGACGCGGAGTTCCGCCAGCTAGCGCAACAGCTGGATCACAAGACGTCGCTGCTGCTAGCTGGCTGGCGCGACAGCGACCTGCGCCTCTTCCTGCCGCCGGCCGGCGCGCGCGCCGCGCCTGACGCGCCGCCGGTGGCGCAGCGACTGCGCCAGCTGCTCGAAGTGCTGCCGACGGCGGAGTCCGAGCCGTGCGCCGCGTTCGTCACGGCGCAGGCGCTGAGCGAGCTGGCCGCCGGCCGACTGGGAGCCGACGCCCGTCTCACCAGACGGCGGCGAGCCGGAGTCGCCGGCGCCGTGGCGGCCGCGGCGCGCGCCAGCCGCCGCGCTGGAGCGGCTGTGCGCGGCGGCGTTGCTGGAGCAGGCGGCGACGCGTCCTGAGCAGCGGCGCCGCCTGCTGGCCGCCGGCCTGCTGCCGGCACTAGCGGCGGCGCACGCGGCTAGGCCAGGCGACGCTGAGCTGATTGGGCTAGAGGCGCGGCTGGCCGGCCTCGTACCGTCGGCGCGCCAGCTCCAGCAGGCCGGCTGGTTGGGCCTGCTGGCCGCCTGGAGTCGCGAGCAAGACGTGCGCGTCTGCCTGCCCGCCTGGCGTGTGCTGCGCAACCTCACGCTGGCGGAGCGCCTGCTGGAGAGCCCGCCGGCCGCGCTAACCCGCCGCCACCGCCGCTGCCGAGGGTCGCTGGGCGGCGCTGCGCGCGCGGCTGGCGGCGGCGCGGCGCCGGGTGGGCTTGGCGGCGGCGGCGCCGGCGCTGCCGCCGCGCCAACTGCGGCCGCTGCCCGACGGCGTGCTGCTGCTACACACCGCAGAACGTGGCGGCCGAGGCCGCGTCGGACGCCGACGTGGTGTTTGTGCACGGCCTCCTGGGCGGGACGGAGCGCACGTGGCGCCAGCACGACGAGACGCGCGCCGCCCTGGCGCCGGTGGCGCCGTGCCGGTTTGTCCGAGCGGCTCCTGCCGCCGCCGGCGGCCGCCCCGCCCAGCGCGCCCCAGGCCGATGCTCCCGCGCCCAAGGCTGAGGCTCCGCGCCGCAGCCGTCCGACGCTCCGGGTGACTCGTCCGCCGAGCGCTACACGCAGTGCTGGCCGCGCGACTGGCTGCCAGCAGACCTGCTGCCGCTGCGCGCCCGCCTGCTGTCGGTGGACTACGACTCGGCCTGGAGCGAGTGGCGGCCGCGCTGTCCGGCGCGCCGCGGCCGCGCCCTGGCCGAGCGCGCCGATGAGCTGCGCCGCCAGCTGATCGCGGCTGGTCTCGGCGATCGGCCCATCATGTGGGTCACGCACTCGATGGGCGGGCTCCTCGTAAAGCAGCTGCTGGCGACGGCGGCTGAGGAGAGGAGGCAGCCGGCGGCGCCGCTGCGGAGGGGGACCCGCTGCTGGCGGCCACGCGTGGCGTGCTGTTCTTCGCGTGTCCGCACGCCGGCTCGTCGCTGGCGGCCGCGGCGCCGCCGCTGCGGCCGCTGCTGCGGCCGTCGGCCGAGTTGGACGCGCTGCGCCGCGACTCGCCGCAGCTGCTCCGGCTGCGTGAGGCGTTCGTGGCGCTGGCGGCGCGCCGCCGCTGGGCGGTGCTGAGCGTGGCCGAGACGCGCCGGCGCCGGCTGCTCGGCCGCGAGGTGCTGTTCGTTGAGCCGGAGTCGGCGCACGCCGGCGTGGGCCGGCTCGTGCTGGCCGACGCCGACCACCTGGACGTCTGCAAGCCGCGCTCGCGGCCAAGCCAGGTGTATCAGATGGTAGTGGAGTTCGTGCGGGACAACTGCTGACCGCGGTCAGCAGGTGCACCGGCAGCTGCCGCCAACGGCCGGGTGGCGCGCGATGTGTCTGATGCTGGTCAGCTGGTGCGTGAACTCGGCAGTGGTCCGTTGCTGGGATGGTGCAGTGGATGCCAGTTGATGCCTGTTGATGCCAGCTGATGCTAGTTGACCAGTTATAGGCCAGCTGAGGTGTTGAAACGATGCGATGCAGCAGTGACCAGTTTATGTGGTAATGACAGCAGTTGACTGCTACAGTACGCTGCGTATGGCTTGCAGTTGCCAGTGCTGATATGTGATGCATAACATCTATGCGGACATTGGTGAGTTTTGTGTTGCTGGTCTCGTGCAACTTAAGTTTCCCATGTGTTACCGGTGCTGCGCTGGTCAGATAGTCCGTTTGAAACTGGCGCTGTGTGTGTGAAAAGTTCGTCATGTTATCCGTGTTGGGTTGGCCAGGCGTTTTACATGTCGACAATATGCAGAATATGTTTGCAACACTGCAGCGGGATCCAGAATCTCGCCTGTTTGCGTCCTGCTCACGTCCGCGTGTTTTTTGTGGTTTCTAGTCAAGCGAACGCCATTTTCCCGTGGGAGATTCCTCTCTGTGTGAAGGAAGCTCAAAGATGCACGGATGAGGACTGAAGTGCCTTACAGCCTTTTAGCTTTTGACCAATGCGCTTCGGTGTGCCACGGATTTCGTACGGGTCCCCTCAATGTTGAGTGATCGCTGGAAGGGTTTGTTGCGCGCAAATATGCCACGAAAACATAAATGTGATTCTGCATATTTTTTCTTTCTTTTTGTACACTTTGGGGTGAACCATGGCTGCGGTGTTTGGGAGTGCGTATCAGCGGCACGGGCGGAAGCTGCATCCGAAAGATGGCTTACTTTTACCGCTTAGCTTAATACCTTCGAGCGTTGCGTCGCCCAGGCGGTTTGCTGCTGCAAACTATCCCAGACCGCCTGTGGTAGCTTGAGCACCTGCCGGAACCGATGCTGTGCAAGAAACATAACCGGTTGGTTGACGTAAAAGGAGCAAACATACCATGCGCTTATGCTGCTCCCAATTCTAGCGCTTCTGGCGTGTCGTTTAATGTTTTGTGCTGGCGTGTGTAGCTGCCATTTCATATTATCTTTGCTATTGCATCGCCTATTGCATTACATTAGCTTTGGTGTAAGGTGCTGCGTGGCCTTGGAGGTTAGACACGTTTATGGCCTTCTGAATGACATTGTTTCGTAAGTGGTTGGTACCATTTGTTTTCAGCATCCATGTCGGCAGAGACGGGCATGTGGCACTGGCATGTTATGACTAAAATGCTATTTTGCCTCTTTATTTTTTCGAATTCGGATATTTCTGTTGATTCCTGTTTGCTGATTTCTGACCGATATGCAGATCAAGTCCCGCCAACGCTGCGGGCTTCCCGCATTGCACCATACCAGAAAGAAAGTGCTAATTGAAAAGTTGAGATATTCATAGAGTAATGTGGCTGGAAACCCCAACAAGATGCCTGCGGCTGACTGAGGTCAATAAAACACTAAAGGTTCGTGAAAGTTGTGAGATATGGTGCAATTATGCGTTACGCACCAAGTGCTAACTATCAAGGTGGGGTGGAAATCAGTAATGAAGAGAAAAGGAACCTGACTGTTAAGCGGCATTTCATCTTTTACCACGCTGCTGCCTGTTCCTGGTCCGCTGCTCCCCCTTTCCCGCCAGCGGAAAAAACAGGGAACATGAAGGAAGAGTGAAGTATTTCCCTTGTATGGTAGCGAAAAATTTGGTAGCGCCATTGACTCCAAGTTTGAAATCACAAGTTCGTTCGTGATAGTGGATCGGCGGTGGTAAGTACGCGTATGACTGTGGGTGGGAATTTCGGGTATAATTCAGATTTTTGTATGGATTGAACCAATGCATGTCACTGAAGTTACATCAGCGTCAATCATTTTGTATCAGTCTCCGTTCGCCGCAGATGTCTTCAGTTTGTGTGCTGAGTATACGGCAGCAACTGCATCAAGATCGCTTTGCGGTGTTTTTCCCCTCCCCACCAAGATCTCATACATGTAGCCCTAGAGCTTTTATTGAGGAGGTCTTGTATATGGCTTTGGTCATATTCGTTACCACTCGCTGCCGCCCTCCGCCCGCTGATCTTCAATGCACTGCCTTGTTTGGTTGAGGGAGCAACTGCTCCACAACTCTGGGCAACATTCGATATTCCTCTGATGATGTATGAAAAATATACCAAATCTCATGGTTTCCCCCGTCTCCAGAGCTTCCGCCTCCACTGCAGGATGGCAGATTGCAACATTAGTGTGTCTGTCCGTGTGCGAGGGCTTATCAAACGTGAAATATCAGATGATCTCACAAAGCATTGGAAGACACATGAAGAGAAGTCTCTAGTGCAGATAGATCCTGCAACAGGAAGTGTGCTCTGTCAGCCATACATCTTTGATAAAGTTTATGATGAAGGCTGCACCAATGCTGATGTATATACAGGTAAATCATCAGCGTTCTCCAGGGAAGACTGGTTGTCCTCAGTGTGCCAGCAGTAGCACTGTAATGAGTTTGGGCATCTTTTTTTGGTCTTAAAAGATTATATTTTAACCAAAGTACTGTTTTACTTGGAATTAAATGTTCAGTCAGATAAAATGTGTGTGATGGTATGTATTGGGAATGTCTTGACAGGTTCATATTTCATATGCCTAATTATCTATGTCGTGCTTGCATGTCGCTGTTCCAGATTTTGAAAAGGGCTATGTAAATTTCCTACTGTCTGGCTAGAAGCCTTCTCAGCAACATTACCAACTGTGCTCAATGCTGTTAATAGCAAAATATGTTGTATGCGGCTTAAGATTGATGACTGCTGGGAAATATGTACTTGAAATTGTTTAACTTTGGATTAAAAAATGTATGGGCTTACACAACTGAACAACATAATACCACATGAGACCAGCACCTCATTTAAAAACTTGCCCATCCACTGTGTTGTAATCCCAATTTCTACAATGGGTTAGCCACAATGTCTTGCCTAATTGCTCGCTACAATTGCTTGCTAATTGCCACAACGTCTTGACCACGTGATGTCCAGAAGTCACGTGACATGTTACCGTGATGGGCGATCGTTCACCATTAGTGACTCCCCACTGCCACAGGCACAGTGGAGGAGATGGTCTACTCGGCCATGGCTGGCTTCAACACCACCATATTCGCCTATGGGCAGACCTCCTCTGGTGAGCATGTCGCGCTTCGCCTTCGCCTTCGCCTTCGCCATGTCGCGCTTCGGTTAGATTGGTCTTTGCCTGTGACTGGACAGATTGGTCCTTATCTTTGATTGGTTAGATTGGTTCCCACCTGTGATTGGTCATATTGGTCTCCACCTGTGATGGATGGTCGTCAGATCTTTGCTTCTGGCCCTCCCCGTGCCCCCGCCGGACCCCTGCGCTGCCCCCGTGTTGCTCCGTTCGCTCCTCTGCGCCGGCGTCTGCCCGCCCTGCCACCTCCACGCCCCCACCCCGCACACCCCTGCTCCATCTGATCACCGTGCCCTCCCCACCAGGCAAGACGCACACCATGCTGGGCCACGAGCAAGACCAGGGCACCATCCCGCGCGTGGTGCACCAGATGTTCGACTGCGTCGAGCAGACGCCCGACCGCGAGTACCTCATCCGCGTCAGCTACATGGAGATCTACAAGGAGGTGCGTGGCCGCCCAGCTGCCGCACCACGGCTGGGGAGCGGCTGACCACGGCGCTGCTGAAGTCAGCAGCGTCATCACTGTGGTTGGTGCAGGGTGCTGAGGCTGAGCCTGAGATATGGCGGAATTTTGAGTAAAGAGCGGTACGTGTTCCTCGTCGTTAAGTTCTGCTCGTCTCGGGAAGCCCCGGGCATGTGGTTTGAAGCCTAGACTCGTTGTTTGGGCCGCGCGACCTGCGGTCGTGGCCGCCTGTGGAATCTGTTCCGCCACCTGGTGGACAGGACACCTCTTGTAGCTTTGTTTTGTGTCTTGCTGACAGGTGGTAGCCGATCTCCTGGCGGAGGGTGCTGGAACACCAAAGGGGCTGCGCATCCACGAGGATCCGCAGGGACAGGTAACAGGGATGGGGAGGTCCGCAGGGCCAGGTGACGGGGACGGAGAGGTCCGCAGGGACAGGTGACGGGGACGGGGAGGTCCGCAGGGACAGGTGACGGGGACGGAGAGGTCCGCAGGGACAGGTAACAGGGACGGGGAGGTCCGCAGGGACAGGTGACGGGGACGGATAGGTCCGCAGGGACAGGTGACGGGGACAGGGAGGTCCGCAGGGCCAGGTGACGGGGACGGAGAGGTCCGCAGGGACAGGTGACGGGGACGGGGAGGTCCGCAGGGACAGGCGACAGGGACGAGGAGGTCCGCAAGGACAGGGACGGGGAGGTCCGCAGGGACGGGATGCCTTCCGGTGGAACCGGATCCGGTTGGGTGTGGTGGGCTGCTCTGGTGCGGCGGGGGTGGGGAGCGGGATGGACGCTGAGGATACCGACGTCTCCTGCGTTGAGGGCGTTGTTTGACCAATCATGACGAGGGATAGAAAGTGACAGCGTCACAAAAAGCTTTTCCCACGTCTTTGCTGCACGTTTTGCCAGGTCATGTAAAATGCATGACTTGATCTTCAGCTTTTCCAATCCAAACCAGAGGCCGGCCAGCAAACAGTCCAGTTGCACATGAAAGTCTGGAGTTGAGTAGCCGCAATACCGCGTGAAAACTCGTTCATTCGAATGATCTCCCATGCGTGCCGGGGCGCGGCCAAACAAAGCATCACCTCTCCACTTCCACACCTCACACCGACTCGTCGCTACCGCCGCGCCGCCACTCGCCGTGCCCCCCCCCCCCCCCCCCCTCTCCCCTGCATCAGGTGCACGACTCGTCACTGCTGCCGCTGGCCGTGACCGCCCCCCCCCCCTCCCCCTCCCCCGTGCGTCAGGTGTACGTGTCGGAGCTGCGGGAGCTGTGCGTCAACACGCCAGAGATGCTGCTGGGACTGATGGGGCGTGGCGAGACGGCGCGCCATTTCGGCGTCACCAACATGAACGACCGCAGCTCGCGCAGCCACACCATCTTCCGCATCATCATCGAGTCCAGAGTCAGGTGGGTGGCCGTCGTCGAGACTAGAGCCAGGTGGGGCGACGTCTTGGAGATCTGGGCTGCTGCGGGGAGGGGACATCGTCGAGATATCGTAGTAATGGCCGAGGTGTAGCGCGCCGGGCTGCCACGTGGGGGCACAGGCTCAAATTCACGACAGTCGGACTCCGCCGCCGGTCAGCCCCCGGAGGCTGGCGATCGGCTGGCTTGCCTCTTAACACTGGCCGTCTTTTGTTCACATTCCCTGCTACGATATGGTGCCACGTGCTTTTGGCAGTCGTCGTTGGCGGCATTCTCCCACTCCGCGTCCCCTTGCCAGCGTATGCTGACCCTGCCCGGGGGCGCACGCGCTCGACCGCTGGTGTCCGGCAGCGGGGCAGCCTGCCCTGACGCCGCTGCCGTCTGTGTGTGGGCCAGGGATGAGGAGGGTGAGGAGGGCGCTGTGGTCGTCTCGCACCTGAACCTGGTGGACCTGGCCGGCTCGGAGCGCGCCCGGCAGACAGGCGCCACTGGCGAGAGGTGAGACGTCGGGTCACTGGGGGTCACCCGGGTCACAGGAGGTCATCTGGGTCACCGGAGGTCTCCCGGATCACTGCAAGGTCATTTGGGTCACTGGAGGTCGCCCGGGTCACTGCAAGGTCATTTGGGTCACTGGAAGGCCATTTGGGTCACTGGAAGGCCATTTGGGTCACTGGAAGGCCATTTGGGTCACTGGAAGGTCGTTTGGATCACCGGAAGGTCATTTGCACCACTGGAAGGTCATTTGGGTTACTGGGAGGTCATTTGGGTCGCTGGAAGGTCATTTGGGTCACTGGAAAGTCACCCGGATCACTGGACATCAGCCTGGTCGCTGGAGGCGACCGCTGATTCCATATCACTATCACCGAACTGTGACATGTCACAACACCCAGGTGATTGGAGCTCACCGATGGCCAGTAAAGGTCACCCGGGGCATTGCGAGGCGCTGGAGACCACAAACGATCATCGAGGGTTTGGGAATGCCACACAAGTCAACATAGGTTAAAGGCGGTCACCAGATATCACCCAGATCTTGGGAAGCAGGCGGGAGTGGGACTGTGGACAGTGTTCACTACGATCTGTTGCGGCGGCTGGATAGTATTCGTGCTTGCAGTCTTACGGGCGGGTTGAGACGAGGTTGATTTTACGTGCTTATTTTTGCCCTGCTTTATTTTCCGTTCAAGATTGAATTTCCGTGCTTATTTTGTCATTGAAACCTGACATCAAACCAAACCAAGCCCGCACCCATCACACCTAGACCGACGCGCAAGAGTCTGAAAAAAGGACGGAATGCACGTTTACGTGGACTCACCTGGTCACCCTGCACTGCTGGCACGAAGCCGTACTCTCGAGCCGCCTGATGTTCTGTGCAGTGCGCCGTACTGACCCGGGCTCCTGGGCGGCCCGAGTCCCCACTTCACGTTCTGACGCGCGCCCCTTGCGCGGGCCGCCGACGGCGCCGCCAGGTTCCGGGAGGGCTGCTCCATCAACTCGTCGCTGTTCGAGCTCGGCAACGTCATCAGCAAGCTGAGCGAGGGCGCGCCCTTCATCAACTACCGCAACAGCAAGCTCACCCGCATCCTGCAGACGTCGCTCGGGGGCAACGCCAAGGTGCGGTGTTGGCCTCGGCGTGTGGAGAGAGGCGGGTGGCGTGGGCGGAGGGGGGGGGGGGGGAGGGGAGGGGGATCGGGTGGACAGGATTCTTTTCTCCGCAATGGCCGCCCTTCCTGCCAGGGCGAGAGGTGTCCGACGCCCTACAGCGGCAGAGGCAGGGTACGTGCGTCTTAAGGCCCCAAAGACGACGACGGCGTGGGGAAGGGAGGGAGGGGAGGGGGGTCTGTGATGACTACGGCGGGGCGTGGGAAGGAGAGGAATGGATGCAGCGCTGAGCCCTGCAAATTCGTGGATACCTCAGACGGCAGACGTCCAGAAACGGGCATCTGTCTGTCGGCGCTAGGGATTTCTAGCGACGCTTGGGGTGTTACAATATGTCACTAGGAAGGGAGGTGGTGGGAAGGGAAGGGAGTGTTAAGGGTCGGATGGGGGAGACCGTACTTCAGAAGCTACAGATCGCCACCGGCGGCTGAGCGGCGTGAGCGGAGGTGCACCTGCGATCCACTGCTGACAGGTCCTGTTCCTGGCTGTGTCGCTGGCTGGGGCTGCACTCGTTGGTCGGGTCGTCTGCGTGTGCTGGCGTGCGACCTACTGTTGCTCTTCGTCCCGGTGTCTGCCGGATGCACTGGCGGTGGGGGCGGGGGGGGGGGGGGCAGTGATGACGTCCATTGTCCCGTTTATTTGTTACGTGGAGTTCACCCAGTGTGCGCCGCCTGGCCCACTGAGTCTTCCGTATGCGTCTTTTTATATGCGCGCGTGTGTGTGCGTGCGTTTGTGCGTCATGTGTCAAAGGGTGCGCTGTTGCGTACTGCTTCACGGCCTTTGTGTGTACCGTCTTACGTGCTCTTCCTCCTCTGATGTCCTCATCAGGTGCCTCTCCTGCCGCCATTTATGTTCCGTCCTCTCTACTTCCCTCTTTTCTGCCCTAACTGTACCACTCCATCCCCACCCTGTGTGCCTAACGTCTCTCCCAGTGTTGACATGCCCCATTTTTAGTTCTATACCGCCCGCCTTCGGCCCTTTTTCCACACTGTCTCCTGCGCCGCCGCCCTCTGCTTCCCCTCCCTCCCCCCCCCCCCCCGGCCGCGTGTGACGCGCCGCTACCGGCTGGTGACCTCTGACCTGGTCTGTGATCTTAGGCCTGACCCGTGACTTCTCTGATCTGACTCGTGACCGCTGATCTGACCCGTGACCCCTGATCTGACCCGTGACCACTGATCTGACCCGTGACCTCTGATCTGACCCGTGACCTCTGATCTGACCCGTGACCTCTGATCTGACCCGTGACCTCTGACCTGCCAGACGGCCATCATCTGCACGGTGACGCCGGCGGCTGTGGAGGAGACCCACTCCACGCTACGGTTCGCCAGCCGCGCCAAGACCATCAAGAACAAGCCGCACATCAACGAGGTAGGTTCCGCGCCGAGCGGTGGGCGGAAGTGAGGGGGAGGGGGAGGTCGCTGGCTCTGTCGGACTAGGGCAGAACGGCGCGACCCAGATTTCCCCAACGCAGGGGCTGGGACGTGCTCAAATGTTAACTCTTAACTCTTTAACCCTTGGTTAACTCTTCGTTAACTCTTGAGTTAACTCTCAGGGAGGACGTCATTTAGTCTAAACAGGATTGGCCTGTGTGGTAGTTCGTGGAAAGACGTTAGTTATGACGCGTGCAGGTGTCATCGGCTCCGCGTGTCATCTGTCCCGCTGGGGCCGTCGCGCCGCAGGCAGTGACCGCTGCCCGGCTGGCAGTGGTGTGACGCCGCCGTCCGCCGCCAGGTGGTGTCCGACTCGGCGCACCTGAAGCGGCTGAAGCGCGAGATCCACGGACTGCGCGCGGAGCTGCAGCGCGAGAAGCAGACCAACCGCGCCACCGAGGTGGAGGAGATGCAGCAGGCGCTGGCCGAGCAGAGCAAGCGCAACACCCAGCTGCAGGACCGGTTGCGCCAGCTGGTCGAGCAGCTGGTGGTGAGCTCGGCGCCCAAGCAGCAGCTGCCAGCCAAGTGAGTCTGGGGGACGGGGAGGGGTCGAGCGCTGTAGTCCAGTCGCGGGGATGGCTGCTCGGGACTGCGACTGTGAAAAACTGCGTGTCTTTGTCTGGTGTCGACCGCAAGTGACCGTGGGCCGTCTCTGCCATTTCTCTGTAGCGCTCCATTGCGACGCACTAGCCTCTGCTCTATAGGCATCATCCCTGCTAGGGCCTGTGGCGGTGGTGGTACAGTGGTCAGGACGCGCGGCTCTGGACCTGTCTGCCTGGGGTTCGAACCCGGCCACGCCACCACCGCATCCCATATAACGCCTAATAAAGGCATCCGTGTCTAAATGGCTCTGGCAGTTGGTGGAACATAAAGCCCCAATAGAAGAAAACTCCCTCGATATAATAAATTCCCTCGGATGGGAGTCCCTCGGAGCGCGGCCGAAGCTGACGTTCATGCGGTGGACGTGCTGCCCCAGTTGGGTGTGAGCACGAGGGTGCCTGTTTTGTACGCTGGCGCTGGCGCCGTCAGCCCGTGTGAAGGAGCGTCGGCCGTCGCCGAGGGGCCGCCGCTGTGCCTCCCGCCTGCCTCTCCCCCTCCCCGCACACACACAGGGCTTACCAGAGTCAGGTGAACTGGTCGAGCTCCTAGTGCCGATGCACGGCGCACATAGACTGTAATTCTCGTTTTCACTGCCCGTTCTCACGTGCGAGGAAGGTCAGGATGACGAGACAGCGCCTGACCTGGGTGTTCGCACGCCCTGGGTGTGCGAGTCCAGATAGCTGTTGCCCCTGGGCGTCCCATGAACCGCCGGCCGCGGTGTGCGTAAGGAGCGTGTCACCCTGCGCCGATGCGATCACTCACGGAGCGCGTAGGGCGCCCGCCCCCCCCCCCCCCCCGGCGGGCGGCGCTCTGACCGGCCGCGGCCGCGCGTGCCTCCGCTAGGGCGCAGAAGAGCAAGCGGCGGATGACGTGGTGCGGCCGGCAGCGCGGCCGGCTGAGTCTGGCGCCGTTCCAGCTGCCGCCGCTGCTGCCACCTGTCGAGGAGCAGCCGAGGCTGCCCGACGACGATCAGCCGTTTGCGGTGAGGCAGGCGGGGCGTGGATGATGAATCGGATGGTGATAAATGAACCGGAAGTGAAAACGAAGATAAGTGAACCGGAAATGTGACTTTTGTCTGGCGGTGTATTTCAGAGATTAGTGGTGAAGGTTGATTGGTAATTATTGGTATGGTATTGGTTGATTGGTAAAGAGGTGCAGAACACGACCGTCACATTCCGACCTCCTCGGATGACCCCTTCCATCAGCGGCCACACGCCTGCCGCCGTCGTGACTCCGCCCATCGCCGACAGGAGACGGCCGAGGCGCCGCCGCCGCCGGCCAGCCGCGTCACCTGCCGCAAGCGCCGCGCCACGAGCATGGACGCGGCGCCGCGGCCGCTGGCGGCCGACGCCGGCACGCAGACCAGCCCGCCGCGGCCGCCACCGCCGCCGCCGCCTGATCGACAGGTAGGAGACGACACGCCGGCGGCCGGCGCTCGGTGTTCCGCTGTGGCGGCGGACGGGGATTGTCAGACGAGGCACAGACCGGTTCGCTACGTAAGGCGTGGTGAGGCCTATGTGGGGAAGGACAGCAATCCGGCCGCGTGACGCGTCGTGGGACAGACGGACGTGTCACTGTGTGGGCGCTTGGTCGGCCATATGGCGCGGTCGTGTGGTGAGAGGTGGTGTCGCGTCGGGGCTCCGGTACACGGCGGCGCCTGGTAGAGAGTGTTGGCGGCCGACCCGTGCGCCGGTACTGCCACAGTTCGTCATATGCCAGTCGTTCTTGGGGAGCCGCCATCATGGTACTGGTTCTGTCTGCCGCGTTGCGGACCAGGTCCGCGTTTCCCACGGGCCGTTACGTTTTTCGGTGGGAGCAGCAGTCGCGGTAGAGACAGTGTTCCAGCGTCGGACATTGCGCCCGCTCACGCCCTCGGTAAGGACCTCGACCGCAGCATGATGCGGCCAGCTGAGCCTTCACATTGATGAAACACCAACGGTGGCTTTGGTGGGATCATCATGGTGGCCGGGGTGCTGACGACGAGTAGATGCTGTTGAAGACGGTGGCGGAGGTCATGCCGGATATGATGACGCCGCAGGGGGTGAGCCAGCGGAAGCGGCGGCGGGCGGACCTGCACCCTGCGATGCCGTCGCTCGAGGAGGAGGCTGGGCGGCCGGTGTCGCTGGGCGACATCACCGAGGAGGAGGAGGATGACAGGACAGCAGGTCAGACGGGAGGAGGGAAGGGACGGGACAGGACAGCAGGTCAGACGGGAGGAGCGGAGGGACGGGACAGGACAGCAGGTCAGACGGGATGAGCGGAGGGACGGGACAAGACAGCAGGTCAGACGGGAGAAACGGAGGGACAGGACAGGACAGGACAGGTCAGACGAGAGAAGCAGAGGGGCGGGGCAGGACAGCAGGTCAGACGAGAGGAGCGGAGGGGCGGGACAGGACAGCAGGTCAGACGAGAGGAGCGGAGGGGCGGGACAACGTATCAGGTGGGTGGGACTATGGACTGGGCGCAGTTTGTCGTCGGACGGCGAAAGTATGGCGGTTCGTCGCAGACGGCCTAAAATGGGAGTGTCATTCAGTGTGTTTGGTATCGCCTGTCCCCCGTTTCCGATGTCAGCTTGTCTGCATCTGCCAATAGCATATGTTTCTCCTGACGTCTTTTCCGTGTGTGGTGCCATCTCTCGGGCGTCCTGTGCCCTATTAGTTCGGAAGATGGCCGGTATCGGCGGCCGCCTTGTCCGCGCGTCCCCAGCCGCCTGCTGCCGGCCCCGCCCCGGCCGGCCGACTGTACCGCCGTGACCGCGGCTGTCCGTGTGTCGCCAGACCGACCCGCGGCCGCGCAGCCGCCGGAGCTGGAGCGGCTGCGGCGGCAGGTGCTGCTGCTGCAAGAGGAGAATGACGCGCTGCGAGCGGACGGAGCCGAGCCGCGGCTGGTGGACGACACGCACGCGCGTCTGCTGGAGACCGTACAGCGGCTGGATGAGGAGCTAAAGGCAGCCAAGCAAGAGAACCAGCACATGACTGTTACAACCAGTACTGACATGTCAGAGGTTGTACAGCGGCTGGAGGAGGAGCTAAAGACAGCCAAAGAAGAGAACCAGCGCTTGGCTATCTCAGCCACCCCTGATATGTCAGAGGCTGTACAGCAGCTGGAGGAGGGGCTAAAGGCAGCCCAAGAAGAGAACCAGCGCCTGGCTGTCTCAGCCACCCCTGATATGTCAGAGGCTGTACAGCGACTGGAGGAGGAGCTGAAGGCAGCCAAAGAAGAGAACCAGCGCCTGGCTGTCTCCGTCACCCCTGATATGTCAGAGGCTGTACAGCGGCTGGAGGAGGAGCTGAAGGCAGCCAAAGAAGAGAACCAGCGCCTGGCTGTCTCCGTCACCCCTGATATGTCAGAGGCTGTACAGCGGCTGGAGGAGGAGCTGAAGGTAGCTAAAGAAGAGAACCAGCGCTTGGCTGTCCCAGCCATTCCTGATATGTCAGAGACTGTGCAGCAGCTGGAGGAGGAGCTGAAGGCAGCCAAAGAAGAGAACCAGCGCTTGGCTGTCCCAGCCATTCCTGATATGTCAGAGACTGTGCAGCAGCTGGAGGAGGAGCTGAAGGCAGCCAAAGAAGAGAACCAGCGCTTGGCTGTCCCAGCCATTCCTGATATGTCAGAGGCTGTGCATCGGCTGGAGGAGGAGCTGAAGGCAGCCAGAGAAGAGAACCAGCGCCTGGCTGTCTCCGTCACCCCTGATATGTCAGAGGCTGTACAGCGGCTGGAGGAGGAGCTGAAGGCAGCCAAAGAAGAGAACCAGCGCTTGGCTGTCCCAGCCATTCCTGATATGTCAGAGGCTGTACAGCGGCTGGAGGAGGAGCTGAAGGCAGCCAAAGAAGAGAACCAGCGCCTGGCTGTCTCAGCCACCCCTGATATGTCAGAGGCTGTACAGCTGCTGGAGGAGGAGCTGAAGGCAGCCAAAGAAGAGAACCAGCGCCTGGCTGTCTCAGTCACCCCTGATATGTCAGAGGCTATACAGCGGCTGGAGGAGGAGCTGAAGGCATCTAAAGAAGAGAACCAGCGCTTGGCTGTCCCAGACATTCCTGATATGGCAGAGACTGTGCAGAGGCTGGAGGAGGAGCTAAAGGCAGCCCAAGAAGAGAACCAGCGCCTGGCTGTCTCAGCCACCCCTGATATGTCAGAGACTGTGCAGCGGCTGGAGGAGGAGCTAAAGGCGGCCAAAGAAGAGAGCCAGCGCCTGGATGTTGCAGCCATCCCTGAGATGGCATATGTACAGCAGCTGGAGGAGAAGCTAAAGGCAGCCCAAGAAGCGAACCAGCACCTGGCTGTCACAAGCATTCCTGATGTGCCAGAGACTGTACAGCAGCTGGAGCATGAGCTAAAGGCAGCCAGAGAAGAGATCCAGCGCTTGGCTGTCTCAGCCACCCCTGATATGTCAGAGACTGTACAGCGGCTGGAGCAGGAGCTAAAGACAGCCAGAGAAGAGAACCAGCGCTTGGCTGTCCCAGCCATTCCTGATATGTCAGAGACTGTGCAGCGGCTGGAGGAGGAGCTAAAGGCGGCCAAAGAAAAGAACCAGCGCCATGCGGATGCGAGCATTCCTGATACGTCGGAGACTGTACACCAGCTGGAGAAGGAGCTAAAGGCAGCCAAAGAAGAGAACCAGCGTCTAGCGGCCGCCTCCGTTGCTGACATGTCAGAGACTGTACAACGACTGGAGGAGGAGCTAGCAGCTTCTAAGCAAGAGAATCAGCTCCTGGTGTCCTCTGCATCGTCCGGTAAGAAGACCTGCGACGTCACATCATCGCCTGACGTCACGGCGCCGTGCGATGTGTCGGCGGCGGCGGCGGGCGACAGCTCGCTGCAGACGGTAGACGCGCTGAAGGAGGCGCACCAGGTGGAGCTGGAGACGCTGCGGCAGCAGCTGGAGGCGGCCAGGGTGGAGAAGCTGGCGCTGGAGGAGAGGCTGTCGGCGCGGGAGATGGAAGAGGCTGGGGGACTGGGTGCTACGATGGTGGCAGAGAAACAAGCGCCACAGGCGACCGACGAGGCTGCCGCGCTCGACGCTCGGACATCGCCGGCCGCACCAGGAGCAGACGCCGATGACGTCGGGCGTAGGTCCCGGGCGGGGGCGGCGCGGCGGCGGACGCTGACGGAGGACCCGCGCCGTCCGGCGCCGGCGCCGGCGTCCCCGGACCTAATGCCGCCGCCGGCCGGCCGGCCGTGGTTCGGCGACGCCTCGCTGCTGGACGAGTCGGCGGACGTGACGGTGTCGGGCCTGTCGCTGTCGCTGCTGCGGCCGCCGCCGGCGCCGGCCGCGCCGTCGCTGTTCGACGAGCTGCAGCAGGCGCGCCGCCGCTCGGCCGCCTCGCTCTCGGCGGCCGCGCCGTCGCTGTTCGACGAGCTGCAGCAGGCGCGCCGCCGCTCGGCCGCCCGGCTCTCGGCGGCCACCGACGCCGCCCGCCTCGCCGGCGACGACGGCGACGATATGGAGCTGGACCAGTCGCTGGCCGAGGCGGCCGCGCTCGCCGACCAGACGGCCGCGACCGACCGGTCGACCTTGGGGGAGCGGTCCATGCTTCTGGAGCCCTCGACGCCGGCCGGGCGCTCCACAGTGGCCGACCGGTCGTCGCTGGCTGAGCGGTCGGTACTGGTCGAGAGATCGACTCTGGCTGAGCGGTCGGTGCTGGTCGAGAGATCGACACTGGCTGACGTGTCCGTGCTGGCGGATGGCTCGGTGACGGCGCCGCTGGACCGCAGCCAGCTAGCTGCGGACCTCGCCACCGTGTACCAGGAGCTGCGGCAGCTGCAGCGGCAGCTGGCCGCCGGCGAGGGCGCCGAGCGGCGCGCCGCCCAGCTGGAGCAGCAGCTGGCGGAGCGCGACAGACAGCTACAGCAGCTGCGGGAGGAGGGGGTGGCGGCGACGCGGGCCGAGGCGCCGGAGGAGGGCGACGAGGCTACAATTGGGGAAGCGTCGCCGGTCCGGCAGGAGGACGCTGACGGCGGTCTGCCCCCGCCGGCGAAGCTGGCGGCCCCGGATGGCCGTGCCACGACCGAGCAACGGACGATGTCAGAAGGCCAGGCCGTATCTGGTGACCAGGTTGTGTCAGAAGACCAGGCCGTGTCAGAAGACCAGGCCATGTCAGAAGACCATGCCGTCCCAGAGCAGCAGGACGGCCTCGCCCTGGCAGCCCCCGCAGGGAGCTGCGCTGCGAGAGCTGAGCTGCGCGACACGCCGGAAGAGCTGCGCCGGGCGCGAGTGCTGCTGGCCGAGCTGGCCGGGCGCCCTGCCAGCGCCGGCCTGCTGGAGCTGGCGCTGGCGCTGCGCAGCCCGTCCCCCTCCGCCGCCGCCGACACCACGTGTGTCGTGTCGGCCGCCGACCTGGACGTAACGATGGCTGAACGCACGCGGGTGTTCAGCGCTGACGAGCTGTCCGCGCCGGCCGCCGCCGAGGTGAGCCTCTGCGCGCTGGAGGAGGCGGCTGAGGGGACGCCCGAAGAGGTGACGGTACGGTTCGGTGACGAGACGATGTCAGGGGCGTGCGCCGGCCGGGCGGAGGTAACACTGCCGCCCGAGGAGGTGACGGTACGGTTCGGTGACGAGACGATGTCAGGGGCGTGTGCCGGCCAGGCGGAGGTAACACTGCCGCCCGAGGAGGTGTTCGGTGACGAGACGCTGGCAGGAGCGTGTGCCGGCCAGGCGGAGGTAACACTGCCGCCCGAGGAGGTGACGGTACGGTTCGGTGACGAGACGCTGGCAGCGGCGTCCGAACCGGCGTCGGCGCCCAGCGGCCGCAGCTTCGGGCCGGGACTGGACGGCTCTGGCTTCGGCCAGGCGGCCGAGGATGGTCCCGCGGAGGTGCGCCGGCTGGAGAACCTGCTGGAAGACATGCAGGAACGGGCGGATGAGACGGCCCGGCGCGTGCACACCCTTACGTCACAGCTCGCTGACGTCACCGCCCAGAACGATGACGTCACAAGTCGGCTGCAGGACGTCACCTCCGAGAAGGACCAGGCCCTGGCCTCTGTGGATGACCTCACCGCCGAGAGAGACCGCGTTATGGCGGAAATGGCCGCCGTTAACGCCGCCTTGGATGGCGTCAGGGCGCAGCTGACAGACGTCACCACCGAAAAAGATGACGTCATCGGGAAGTTGACCGACCTGACCGCCGCGATGGAGGCCGTTAACGCCCAGCTTTGTGGCACGACGGCCGAGAAGGATGACCTCGCGATGAAATTAAGTGCTGCTACCGCCGAGAGCAGCGACTCGCTGGCCAAAGTCACGGCCGTCAGCGCCGAGAGAGATGACGTCGCAGCGAAGCTGTGCGAAGCGAGCGCTTCGCTGCAAGTCCTGAACGCTCGACTGGCTGACGTCACCGCCGAAAACGATGACGTCACGACCAAGTTGGGCGCCGTCGTCGCCGAGAGGGACGACGTGGCGACGAAGCTAGCTGACGTTACCGCCGAAAAGGACTGCGTCATTGCCAAGTTGTGTGACGTCACCGCCGGGAGAGATGAGGTGCAGGCGGCTCGTGACGAGCTTGAGCGTCAGCTGGCGGTAGCATCCGCCGAGGCGGCCCGCTTCCAGTCGCAGTTGTCTGCCGCGGAGCAGCAGCTGCAGCAGCTGCACGAGCGGCAGCAGCAGCTGGCGGCGGAGGAGCCAGCCGTCGACGAGTCGGCCGCGCTGCTGCGCGAGCGGCTGGTGGCCGTGCGCGACCGGCTGGCGTTCGCGCGCGCCGAGGCGGCCAACGAGCGCGACGTGGCGGCCGGCCTGCGCGAGTTCAACACCTCCTGCCTGGCGGCCAACGAGCAGCTGCGCGGCGAGACGGCGGCCGCGGCTGCGCGACTGGCCGAGCGCGAAGCGCAGCTGGTGGAGCTGCGCGGCCAGCTGCAGCCACTGGAGCCGCTGCGCGAGGCGCTGCACCGCGCCGAGCGCGAGGCGGAACGGCTACGCCGCACGCTGCAAGACGCCGAGGAGGCCGACCGCGAGGCGGCCGTCGTGGCGACGCGGCTGCGCGCCGCCACCGAGGCGGTGGCGGTGGCGCAGCGCGCGCAGGCAGCCGCCGAGCGCGCCGCCGCCGACGCCGGCGCCCAGCTGGCGGAGGCGCGCGCAGGCGGCGACGATCTGGCGACGCGCCGCGCCGCCGCTGAGGAGCGCGCCGACCGACTCGCCGCCGAGCTGGACGAGGCGCGCGCCGAGGCGGCCGGCGCGCAGCGCGCGCTTGACGAGCAGGCAGCTCGGCTGGCGTGTGCCGGAAGGGAGCGCGACGAGGCGCGCGCGCTGCTGGCGGCGCTGGAAGAGCGCGCCGAGCGCGAGACGGCGCGGCTGGCGGCAGCGGCGGCGGAGAATGTCGGCGGCCGGCGCGAGGCGCGCCGAGAGATCTGCGACCTGCAGGAGACGCTGGTCAGCCGCCAGGCCGAGCTGCAGGAGCAGGCGCTCTGCCTGGAGAAAGTGCGCGCCAAACGTCGGGAGGCGGTACAACGCACAGAGGAGCTGACGGCAGAGAGAGACTCTCTGACCGCGGAGAGGGACTCCCTGACGGCGGAGAGGGACTCCCTGACCTCAGAGAGGGACTCCCTGACGGCTGAGCTGGCCGCCGGTCGGGAGGCAGCTGCGCAGCTGCATCTCCAGCTGTCTGAAGCCAGCTGTCGGCTGGACGAGCTGGAGCGCACCGCCTCCGAGCGCCAGTCCCAGCTGCAGTTCGAGCTGGACGAGCGGGTGGTGGAGCTGCACCAGCTGCAGGAGGAGCACCAGCTGCTGACTGACGGCAACAAGCAGCTGCAGGAGGAGCACCGGCAGCTGCAAGATGAGCGCCAGCGCTTGCAGAACGAGCACACTCAGCTACGGAATGAGCATCAGCTGCTGCGAGGCAAGCATGATGAGCTGCAGGAGGAAGCTCGCCAGCTACTGGACCAGTGCCGTGGAGTCGAAGACGACCTCCGCCAGACACAGGTACGTCCAGCAGTGGTTTGCACCAGCCATGCCATGTTCCCTTTTGTATCGATTTGGTGCAATTGTTCGACTTCCGGCGCTAGATGACCCTTGCCCTGTGCGTGTTCATGTCCGGACTGCGTACCCCTCCCCCTTCCCTCCCCCACCTCACGCAACCACCCAGTCGAACGGGCGTTCACAAGCACACAGAGTCAGACGGCCCCAGCCCGGCGACACCAGGCCTGATCCCTCTCTCTGGCCGCCAGGAGAGGCTGACTGCTGAGCGGAGTCGGGCCGACGCCGACCGGGCCGAGCTGGGCGCCAGGCTGGAGACGCTGGAGACCGGGCACCAGGCGAAGGTGGCGGCACTAACCGCCGAACTCCAGGCCAAGCTGGAGACCCTGGAGACCGAGCACCAGGCGAAGGTGGCATCACTGTCGGCCGAGCGGGAGGCGGCGGCCTCGGAGCACGAGCGGCTGCTGGCCGGCCAGCGCGAGGCGGCCGCCGCCGAGCTGGAGGCCGAGCGGCTCAGGCTGTTCGCCGACTACCAGCAGAAGGCCGACTGGCTCACCACGCTCATCGACGAGAGCGATGACGAGCTCCGACAGGTCAGTGACCCCTTAACATAGGCCCTGACAGGTCAGTGACCCCTTAACACGGGCCCTGACAGGTCAGTGACCCCTTAACACAGGCCCTGACGGGTCAGTGACCTCTTAACACAGACCCTGACAGGTCAGTGACCTTTCAACACGGGCTCCGACAGGTGAGTGACCCACAACACGGCTTCGACAAGTTAAAGGTTAAAACGGGCTCCAACAGGTTAGTGACCTTAAGCATGGACTCCGACAGGTTAGTGACCTTAAGCATGGACTCCGACAGGTCAGTGATTCTCATTACGAGCCTCGACAGCTTCGATAACTCAGCAACAGTAAAGCGGCAGCAGCAGTAAAGCGATCTGAATTTCGAGGTCTTCTCTTGAACGATGATGGGTATGATGATGATGATGATGATTTGGGGTTTTAGGGCGCATCGACTGCTGAAGGTCATGCAGCGCCCATAAGTGATGGGTATGACGCCATTACATCGCATCCCCAAGAAAGAGTTGGTATCAAGTATTCAGAGTTCCTATGCTGATGTATCGACCCTTGCTGTGCCACGAGGTGCTGGTTAAACGTGGTTATGGAACGAGCATTGGTTTGATCGTCAAAACGTCCCCGTCCCCGTACCTGTACCCGTACCCGTCCCCATCCCCATCCCCATCCCCATCCCCATCCCCATCCCCATCCCCATCCCCATCCCCATCCCCATCCCCATCCCCGTCCCCATCTCCATCCCTGTCCCCGTCTCCATCCCCGTCCCCGCCCCGTCTCCATCCCCGTCCCGTCCCCGTCCCCGTTCCCGTCCCCGTCTCCATCCCCATCCCCGTCTCCATCCCCGTCCCGTCCCCGTCTCCATTCCCTTCCCGTCCCCGTCCCGTCCTCGTCCCTATCCCCATCCCCGTCTCCATCCCCTTACCCGTCCCCGTCTCCATCCCCGTCTCCGTCCCCGTGCCGTGCTGTCCGGATGTATAACTGTCACTGGCGCAGTCGCGTGCTGCTGCGGCGGCGCCCGCCGAGCGTGCGTGACCATGAGGCTACTCCTTTTCGGGCAGGCCAAGGAGCAGCTGGCCGCGCGACAAACCGAGGTGGAGCAGCTGCAGCTAGAGGTTCGCCAGCTGCGCGTCAAACAGGAGCAACAGCAGCAGCTGCAGGTCAGCCGGAACTTCGCCACGTGTGGGATGTCACGCCACTTTGAGCTCGCTGTCGTGTGGCCAGCGGACCCGGGCGGCCGCGGTAGGTCTCCAGCCGCGCCTGACTGGCGCACTCCTCTGACGTCGCGTGCTGTCTCCTCTCAGAGCCAGCTGACCTCAGGACAGAGCCAGGCGGACGCCCGCTGCGACCAGCTGGAAGCCCAGCTGGAGGCGCTGGCGACCGAGCACCAGGTCAAGCTGGAGACGCTGGCGACCGAGCACCAGGCCAAGCTGGAGACCCTGGAGACCGAGCACCAGGCGAAGGTGGCATCACTGTCGGCCGAGCGTGAGGCGGCGGCCTCGGAGCACGAGCGGCTGCTGGCCGGCCAGCGCGAAGCGGCCGTCGCCGAGCTGGAGGCCGAGCGGCTCAGGCTGTTCGCTGACTACCAGCAGAAGGCCGACTGGCTCACCACGCTCATCGACGAGAGCGATGACGAGCTCCGACAGGTCAGTGACCCCTTAACATAGGCCCTGGTAGGTCAGTGACCGCTGAACACAGGCCCTGATAGGTCAGTGACCGCTTAACCCTTGCTCCGACAAGTCAGTAGCCCATTCACACAGGTTCCGACAGGTCAGTTACCCCTATCACAGGCTCCAACAAGTCAGCGATTCCACGAGCTCCAACTTGGAAGTAACATTCTCACGAGCCCCGACAGTCCAGTAACGGCGACGAGCTTGGCCGGGTTTGTGGCGAGCTCTGACGGGCCAGCGACCGTGACGAGGTCGAGCTCGTAATGGCGCTGAGGCCGCGCCCTCCCCTAGCGTACCGCCTGGGGACTACAGCGGCACGCTGCTGGGAAGGGTGGGGATGCATATTGGAAACCCGTGGACTTTTTTTTGACACGCCTCGCCCGTTCGTAACTTGCCATGGTTATGATGATTATTCATCATGACAATCGTATATCACTCTGGCAATGATTAGTCACAGCTTGTTTGACTTTACTTGGATTTTCTACTAGGTTAGGTTAGGCGGAGCGCTTTCTGGTAATCACGTGAAATTAGCGTAAAATTTCGGACAAATGTGAAAAACCGATATCTACGCCATCCGACCACACGACTTGTCTCCGACACATCGTTTCATAATGGTGTTCGCGCTCGCGGTGCGGCGCTGTCAGCACGGCTCCCCCGGGTGTGGACGCCTGCTGCCCTGTCCTGCCGCGACCTGATCTGACCTGGCCTCACCTCACCTCACCTGACCCGTGGCCTGCGTGCAGGCCCGGGAGCAGCTGGCGGCGCGCCAGGCGGAGGTGCTGCAGCTGCAGACGGAGATCCGGCAGCTGGTGGAGTCGCGCGAGGCGCAGCCGCCGCCGCCGCCGCCCGAGTGGGAGACGGAGTCGGACCGGCAGCGCGAGAGCGTGACGCGGCTGAAGGCGCAGCTGCTGGAAGCGGTGCAGGCCAAGCGGGACGCCGAGCGCCGCCTGACCACCCGAGACCTGCCGCACCGCCGCCGCGTGGAGGTAGGGCGCGGCCACTGACACCAGGGGCTCACACCCGCCCAAGCCGGCAACCCACGCTGGGGCTCTGTCTGCACTGGCATCACTGATGTATCCATGCTCATTCAGCCTATATGCGTATATATATATATATATATATATATATATATATATATATATATATAATATTGTTCCAATAGACTCGTTTGGTTAGGTATATATATATATATATATATATATATATATATATATATATATATATATATATATATGTCGGGGGCTTGTATCCCTGTAATGGTGTTGCTCGGGGCCCTAAGTTATCTCTTTATTCTTCATAACGGCAGATGCCATGGTTACCAACCAGCGGCTGGTAGCCGCTTGCGGGACAGGCTGTGAACCGGACACTGGTTTAGACATGCATTCAACCGATAATGCATTCTGGCATACTTTTAAAAAATGTCGCTAATTATCCCTTAATCCCCCTCCCTTCCCCCTAAGCCCCGTAACGTCCCTGCAGTTTCGCCGCAACCCCGCTGCCCGTTGGCTCAGAATCCAGATCGACTCCTGTCGAGATATTCCTCCGAAACGCCGCGTCACGGACTGGCGCGGCTCGCCGGCCAGCCGTGGCCGAGCACGGTGACCAGCTGGCGGCGACGTGAGCCGCGAGGACCGCCGGTGTCTCGCGCAAACGCGGTGGCCGGGGATTGTCACGGGCACGACGAGTGGGCTGAGCTGAGTGAGCGCGACCGATCAGCAGTAGCTTTCAGCTCTTGTCTCCCCATTCTGCCCCCCCCCCCCCCCTGCCCCGTCCCTCCGCTCTTCGCCATGGAGATTGCGCTGAATTTATTGACATTTCGTGCTGAACGTTGTGTACATTATTTGATTATTGTTGATGCGTACACCCTGTTTGTGTGTCGTGGGTGGAAAATCTGCCCGCAGTACGCTGTAAATGAAGACTGCATATAACTCTGCTCATGTCTCGCCTGGTTTTTATGTAAATTTATTCCAATAGACTCGCTTGGATGACTTCCAGTTCAGGGAAATCGCCAAGGGTCATCACCTTTTTCCCGAACCCATCGCGCGAGTAGTTCTGTCCAGTTCTTCGTGTAAGGTTACCTCGGCTCCTTCCTCGAAACATTATGCCTGAGGGGTTGGCGTGTTACTGAGTACTGCAGCACGGCCATCCCGTGCCTGGTTGCCTTTTGGCAAGCTGCCGACTGACCTTTCCGGGTTTATCGGGACAAGCCGTGCGCTTGCTTGGACTTCATACTCGGCGCTGCTGGAGAACGCATTAAACACCTTGTTTCCCCGGGCTTTAATTTGCATCGTTTTTTCGGCGTTTTTCACTCGCGTGGCCCCGTGCCGCCGTAACGACCGGGCGCCGCTTCCGTCGCTGCCGTAGTGACTCGGCGCCGCTTCCGTCGCAGTCGCTGGAGCTGGAGCTGCAGCGCAGCCGCGCCGAGACCGAGGCGCTGAAGGCCGAGCAGCGCCAGCTGGTGCGCCAGCGGCTGGACGAGACGGCCGCCGCCGGCCAGCTGCTGGCGCCGGCCGGCGAGCAGCCGCCGGCGGCCGGCGCCAGCTCCGGCGGCGTGGTGCAGCAGCTGATGGCGCTGGAGCTGCGCGGCCTGGCCGAGCGCCAGCAGCGCCAGATTGAGCAGCTGCAGCGCCAGCGCGACAAGTACCTGGGCGCGGCGCGCGCCTACAAGCTCCGCCTGTTGGAGGCCGAGCGGCGCGCGGGCGGCCGGGACCAGGACCGGGATCAGGATCAGGACCAGGGCCAGGACCAGGACCAGGACCTGGACCGGGACCGGGAGCAGAAGCGGTCGTCGCCCCGCCGCTCCGCGCGTGTCGCCACCAGCATGCCCTGTGAGTGGTGACCCAAACGGGGACGACGGTCTGGTCTGGTCACGCGCCGCCGCCGCCGCCGCGGGACGCTGCTGGGGATCAGGCCTCCGGACGTGGTGCGTGATGGGACGCTGGCAGGTTGCGATGCGCGCACTACCGGAGCGCGTGTGGACGGGCGTCTGTGTGCTTGGAGCATCCGTTTAAGGTTCGCCCTTTGTGTCGCTGTGTTTCGGGGTCGCGGGTTGCCCCAGGGGTGCCAACGGCGCATTGGTCACAAACAGCCTGGTGTGGAGTTGCACTACGTTGTCAGCTTGGACGGTAACGGGCCACGTCACCCGACGACCAATGGCGTCATCACGACTGCCAATGACGTCAGCAACCGGTGACGTCGCATGGCACCGATCGGCCAGCGCCGCGCTGAACCTCGCGTCTGCGCTTCCAGCGCCGCAGCCGTCAGAGCCATCTAATGGCGGCTCGGAGAACCATGAGTCTAGCGGTCGTCGGCCGGCGGCGCGGCGGTCGGGGAAGCGGTCCGGCTCGCCGCTCGGCCGGGCGGCGCGCCGGTCGCCGCGGCTGAGCGAACTCTCGGCTAACACGCCCAGGTGAGCGCCCGGTCGCCAGGCACAATGACGTTACAGTGTGAAGTCATTGCGAGCGAGGGTCACCGAGGTCATCTGTTGTGGTCCGGCTGCCCGCTGGTCTGGGTACGGTGGGGATGTTCTGCTGGCTCAGGTGGGGACAGGTCTGAATAGGTTGTGCACCGGAACTGTCCCAAAGTGGGATGAGAATGACAACATTGCTGCTTTGACGTGCCTGTTTGCAAGGCTGGGGGAGGGGGTTGGGTTTGGGGGAGGGTCGCGCGCGGCCCTGTTTTCCCCTCGATTAGCAGTCGGTGCGCAGAACTGTACCGGTGCCGGGTTACGCTCCTCAATACAGCAGGTGACCCCTCGCCGGCCCGTCCCACCGGGTGACCGTAGGTAAAGCGTTTGACGCACACGGGGTCAAAGGCCGCGCGCGGAACATGTGACGAACATGTGCTTCGATCATGCAAGCCTGTGATTTGGTCATGTGAGCAACTAACCTGAGCATGCGAATATGCGATCTGATCATGTGACTATGTGACCTGGTGATGTCCATATGTGATCTGATTGTATCGATTTGTGATCGGATCATGTGCATGTGTGGTCTGAGCATGTAAACATGTGATCTGAACATGTAAATATGCCATCTCGGTAGCCTGTACTGCGTCTCCACCGGTGAAGCTGAAGTGCTGCACTCGTTCTAGCCCGCGGACGCCGTCCTGTCTGTTGCTGCCGGACCTGTGCGTCCTCCAGCGTGTCACCAGCCCGTGCGCCGCCTCTGTGCATTATCTTGTTGCCTGTCGCGTGATGCAATCTTCCCGCAGCGTGCCGCCGTCCCTCCGCCGTCTCAGTCGGCCCCCCTGATAGCGTCTCTCAGTGGGAGATGGTGATACAGACCGCCGTGTGCAGTGTGCTGCTAGTTGGTTAGTGTTTCCATGCTTCTCCCACACGTCGCCGTGCCTCACGCTGGTGGCTGCGTGCCGACAGCGCGCCGCCGCCGGCCAAGCGGACCTCCTCCCCGCCGTCGGGCCGTCGCAGTCTGCGGAGCGGCAACTAGGCGGCGCCAGCGACGCCCTGACCCGCGACGCTGCCGCGCGACCGGCCGGCCGCCGGCGCTGACCGGACGGGACCGGACCCAAGTCGAGTGGGCGGGAGGTGGACCGTTCGACAGGCGGCCAGCCTGGACGCCGAGCGGGTGGCCGACGACGGCGCGGCGTGCCCCAACAATGGGGGCGGACGGGCGGCGCGTGCGGCCGAGTAGACATGGTTACGAGCGGAGCGGTGGCGCGGAGCTCCGAGTGGCCCACTGCACATAGCTTTAGTGATGCCTCTATAGACGGTTAGTGGGCGGGCGTGCCTCGCCATCGGTCGATCATTTGCGCTGGCGCGGCGCACGCGCGCGGAGCCCGGTCTGTGCCGCACCAGCGCGGTGACCGCCACTCGGAGACCGGAGACGGCGCCCGCACGGCAGCCGCCAGCGGTGTGTGTTGCCGCGCTGGTCGGCCCGCGGGTGGACCCGCCCGTGGCCGCGGCGCGCTGAGATGGTCTGCGTCTTCCTCGGTCCTGTCGCTGAGTGTGGCTGTTGACCCGTCCACATGGGTGCGAGTTTGGTCCTGTGGGCACCTGCTCAGAATACAGACTCGTTTGTCTTCGTTTTACACGCGTTTGCCCTCATTGCCGGCGGTATGGGCCGTTTGAAGACGCTTGTGTAGCTGCAGGGGTGCCGAGAGAACTCGAGAACCACCAAGAATGAAGTTCACAACTAAGT